AGTAGCAGTAGGTCTCAGAGATGTTACCCACCAGGGCTGCCCTTCCGTTTTCTCACCTGCAAAGCATGGAGAATGACAGTACCTACCTCAGTGGGGCAGATCAAACAAGACAATCTTTGCATAAGTGGCCAGCACGTCTGAGCTCCCGGGGAGCACGTTAATGACATCATCTTGGGTCCCTCGCACTGGACCGAACCTTCGGTGAAGCCCTGCTGAACGCTGCGACTCGGCCCCAGCCATCCCTGGGGACGTCGGGGACAGTCTGTGCCCATGCTGAGAATGAGGAGGGAGGTCACTGAGACGGGCAGTAAGGGCTGCCTGTGGGAGGGAGGAGGGAGCGGGGTTGGGGTGGGGAGGATGGAGGGGGCTTAGCTGCAGCCTGGAGCCATGGTCTCACCAACACTGCCAACACCAAGCAGGCTGGTTCTAGGCGTCCGAATGCATCCCTGGGGCCCCTCGCACTGCTGGCCAGCGTCTAGATCCCCTGCCGCCGGACGCGAGAGTACCGCGTCTCCCCCTCTGCTGGTCACCGGGCTCTGCGCTGGGCAGGGGAAGCCTGCTCCCGGCAAGCGCGGGATGGCTTGAACGTCAGTGAGTGTCCCGCCCCTCGGGTCCTGGGGCTACTGGGTGGCTCTTGACTCTTGAAAACCAGAAGAATGGCATCTGAGCCCCCCGTGAGCCCGTGTGAGTAATGGGGGTTTCTGGCTGGCAGGAGAAGGCAGAAACAGGACGCATCCCTGTCCCTAAGGCCACCGCCTAGAAGTTGCCCATGTTGCCTGCAATCACTGGCTGGGAAGTAGGCCCACGGCTGGGAAATGTGGCTCTTCTTGGGCAGCTGCTGGTGCATCTCAGAGTCAGGCTCTCCTATCACGGAGGGCACAGTGGGGACAGAGCAGTGTGTCTGGTGCAGCAGAAAAATGGGCTGGCACTGGTTCTTCCCAGCACTTGTCCCCAAGCCACTCCCAGAGGAGCCCTCCGGAGCCAGCCAGAGGCCACCACCATTTCTGTGACTGGCCACCAAACAGTCCTAAAGGAGGACACCTGTGGCTGTCACCGGGTCACATGGGCCTGCTTCCTGTACGGTGGCGTGAGCGCGTAACGATGATTGTCCCAAGGGTAGCAAACAGCAGTGACTTTCTGAAGGTAACAGTGGAGAAGCGGGGGTAGGTCTGGGGGACAGGGGGGCGGGGCAGCCGGGCGGGTCCTGGGTGTGAGTTCGGTCTGCGGGCAGGTGCAGGTGAGGCCCCAAGGAGAAGCTGAGGCACTGTTCGGGAGGAGCTAGGGAGCTGTGAGCTGCATGGCCGACTGGGGAGGCGGGGCGGGTGGGGGGGAAGTGTTGGTAAAAGCGGAGAAAGCCCCACTTTCAGAGATAAGCGGAGAGCGGGAGGCACCCGGCGGCAGTCAGCAGGGCGGTGCGTGCCGGACCTCATCACTGGCCCACATCCCACGCCCGTCACCCCTGCGTGACCACCCTCAAAGAGCCTGGGCAAGGGGGTACTGGGGCGACCAGGTCCTGGGACCAGCACCACGTGGGAAGGCTCCCTCCAGGGACAGAATGGTGGAGGCAGCTGGGGTGTGAAGGTGGGGCGGGTACCCAGGTGCTGGGGTCAAGGAGAAACAGATCGGGACATCAGTGGAGGCCCAAGAAGTTTCCGTGGGGTGAGGAGTCACAATGATGGCCACCAGGTTGCCTTTCCTCAGGTCCCAGCTGCAGGCTGGCAGACGGGTGGGTGGGGGGCAGCCCTGAGTGGGCGGCTCGGGATGAGGCCGTCCAGGTGGGCAGTAATGCAGAGGTCAGGGAGGCAGGAACCACAGAGCCAGCAGCCTGTGGAGGGCGGGCTTACCGGGGGGCTGTGCTCCGGCACCCCAGTACTCGGGGTGTTGACAAGTGCCCCTGCCTCCAAGCCGGATCGGAGGGAAAGTTGAGAAGGAGGAGAAAGCGGATCGTGAAAGAACCTTGAGGGTCCTGGGAGGAGGGAGCGTCCCCCAGCCCTCTGCCCACTTCCGGTCTCACACAGGGGCCCGCTTGTCCCAGCCATTCAGGGGCACCTGCCTCTGTCAGCCCGACGTCTGGAGGAGTCCTCATGTTCTTGCACTTTGGGCCACCCAACTGGGTCTTCCCCGAGCAGCTCAGCCAGTGCCGCTGCTTTCCGGAAGCACGACAAGACCCCGCACCGGAGGGTGCGCCCAGCAGGGGCTGGGACATGGCGCCGACTGACAGCGGGCCGCCCCTGGTTCTTTCCCAGCAGGTCCGAGAGACGGCCCCTCTGGGCAGCGTCATGAAGACAGAATTGAAGACCCAACAAAGTGTGATTTCTCAGGCCCGGGACCAAGAGCGGGACGTGGCTCCTAGCCACGTGGCGGGCCAGTCCTACCCCGCGAATGCTCGACAATTCTTTTTTTTTTTCAAATATTTTTATTTCTAGGAGAGAGAGAGAGAGAGAGAGAGACAGCGTGAGCAGGGAAGGGTCAGAGAGAGAGGGAGATACAGACTCTGAAAAAGGCTCCAGGCTCCGAGCTGGCAGTCAGCACAGAGCCCGACACGGGGCTCGAACCCACGAACCGCGGGATCATGACCTGAGCGAAAGTCGGACGCTTAACCGACTAAGCCACCCAGGCGCCCCTCGACAATTCTCATACGTGAGATGGTGGGGGTGGCTGCGTGGGACCTCCGCGTGTGTCCCAATCACTGCACGTGAACACGGTGCCAGAGCCACGGCCCAGCTCTGAAACCTGTTTCACGGGAACCCTTGGTCCCCGACAGTGTGAGCTCAGCAAATCCTTACGTGAGCCTCACACCCAGTGAGGTCCTGGGCCAGCAGCCTGTTTATCAACAGGAAAAGCAGGACAGCAAGCACATCAGGGACCCTCCGGAGCACAGGGGCCCAGGGCGTTCCGATGTTGATGGCTCCCTGGAGGCAGACCAAAGGAACAGCGTCTGGAACCAAACAGCTCACAGCTGGCCAGGTCGCTGGGAAGCCGGACAGCCTCTCAGTGTGTTACTAGGCCCTGGCTTCAGCGCCAAGAGGGCCTCCCGGCTGCTCGCAGGACAGAGGGGCCATTCCAACCTGGCCTCTGCAGCTGGAGCTGCATCCTCCGGGACCTCTGGCACCCTGGGCCCCGCCTGAGGCCTCCCAGTGGGTGCCCGGAGCGATGAATCGTCCTCTGAACTTCCCAGACCTGTCCCTCCCATTGCTGTCAGAAGGGGGTGCTCTCCGTGCTCCCGGAGGCCTCCTGACCCCGATCCTACCTCAGGCTGGATGGGCCTCCCTCCCTGGGCACCCACAGCTTCCGTGTCTGGAGACAGGAGGGCCCTTTTGACCCAATGAGGGCCACTCACGCATGCTCTACATGACTTCCCTGGGGGTGGGACCCATGTTTGACTCCACAGCATCTGTTCGGCATAACGGTCAAATAAATATTTGCTCGTGGGTGGCAAGAGGTGCGCTCAAGGCTCGTTAGTTAAGTTCAATAAGGAATGGTTTAGGTAGCGACCGAGCTTTTCTGGATGTGCAGCCCTGAGGAATTAGAGGCGGGGTGGCCGGTGGGGGGGGGGGGGGGGGGGGGGGGGGGGGGGCGGCGCATGGCTGCAGGCAGGTCCATTACCCATAGTTATTTCCATCAAGTTTACGTTTGAGAAAAGCTAGAAGGGACCTTATAAGTCACGTGGTGAGGGTGTAAAGGCACAGGCCTGGGAAGCCTGAACTTGCACAAGGCCAAGGCTGGGAAGGCACAGGAGTGGGATTCACACGAGGTGGTGGGCTCTCACTTGCCTGGTACATTGCACCTGAACTTACACATTCACTTGATAGAGTGGAGCTGCACATTTAGTTTTAAAAGGGTTTCACTGTGAAACCTTTATTTAAAAGAGGTTTTAAATAAAATGAATTGCCATTCTGCAGGTCAGGGACAGGGGTGTGGGTGGTTGGTCACAAAGGGGTCTGGGTGAGCGGAGGGGTGGTCAGTAGAACTGGGGTCCAATACCCAATCTGGGGTAATCCTTGTGAGATTGTAGCGGGACAGGGGGCTCTGCTGGGGACCAAGTGGCAGCATGGTGGCCTCCATGGCCCTGCCAGGATACAGTGTGACCTCCTCACCGAATCTGTTTTCTCCTCTGGGCAGTAGGGTGGCCCCTGTATCCCCCCCATACCCGTGTAAGAATCTTATGACGTCATCTGCGTGCCCCCCTCTCTGGACCGTCAGCGGTGAGTCTGGGAGGCAAAGTCAAACTGTGAATGCACTTGGTGGCCTCCCAAAACTGCAGGCTCAGAGAGGGGGATGGGTTGACCTTTCACCTCTCCTCATGGCCCCAGGGAAGAAAGGCAGGGGGAACCCCAGCGCACAGGGATGCTGCCCCGGGAGCACTTCCCAACGCGCGGGGTTTCGGGAGGACCCATGGACCAAGCAGGATGCGCCAATCATGGCGAGATGAGCCATGTCCACGGAAAACTGGCAGCCGCTGGCGGGACAGCCAGTGCAAGGGCTCCAAACCACAGAAGGAAGCGGTTTCCCGACCGCTGGGACCTGCTGCTCACCGGGGCTGTGCTCGCGGGGAGGCGCGGGGTGCCGCCTTGTCCTCAACGTCGGGGAAGAAACGAAAGACCCGAGAGACTCACGCACGTCCCCGAGGGGACACCCGCACCGCTCCAGCACCCCTAAATGGCCAGAACCCTGATTATGTGTCTGTGGAATTATCATCGTGCGTCCCTGAGTACAGGACACCGTGAGTCACGTGCATGTCACGCGACCAGTGACGGGCGCCTCACGGGTGAGTGTGACCATGCACGCTTCTCACCCTGGGAGGCCCCCACCCCGCTGGGCAGTCCCGACGGCCTGGAGGGGGTGCCAGGGTCTGGGCACGGGCAGGAGCGGGCGTCAGCTACCGACAGTGTCAGGCCTGCTCTCTGGAACTCACCTGAATTCAGTTCAGTGCCAGTGGAGTCACCAGTTCTGTACGTACAAGAAAACGGCCCTTTTAAATAAAGAAAAGAAAAGTGGTGTAGATTTCATGAAATGCCTTTATTTTGGCTGCTCTAGGACCTTGACTTTCTGTTTCCCGGTGCTGAACACGGCCAAGCTTTTCCGAGCACCAAGAAGGGACACCCCAGGTTCTCCCCATTTCCTGATGCCGGTGGATTTAGACAGGACTCTCACAAACTCGCCCGCCGCCTCCCCCAGCTGCTGACCGCGGGAACCGGGCGGGGCCCTGATCCGCGACAGAGCTCAGGCGGCCCTGCGTCAGCCCCAGACCGGCACACAGCTGTCAAGGCTTAGCAGTGACCAAATAAATACGAAACCCTATCGCCGAATGAATTTACACAGCAGCCGTCTGGTTCTTTAAAAAAACAAATCCAACCCAAGAGTAAACAGGGCGGGGGGTGGGGCTCGTAAGTGGAGGAGGGAAGGAGGGAGACTGTCATCCGTAGAATCCCGGAGCCCAGAAGTGCTAGTGTGGCCGGGCCCACCGGCTTCGCCCTGCAAGGCTGGGGGTGGGGTCGGGACTGCATGCAACGTCCAATACCGTCCGCATTCCCAGTGGGCGGAGCTGAAGTTCACGGAGGCGGGAGCAGGCTGCACGTGACCAGCACCCCACCTGCACTCGTGTGCGCATGCGCACGCACGCATGCACACACCTGGCGTTACTACTGTGCCCTCTGGCTGGGTGGCGGCGTCCCGTGCCTGGCGGGGACGCACGCGCGGCTCCCGCCCCTGGCCCGGGGCGCGCCCTCACGCCGCCGACAGGAACGGGAAGAAGAAGAAGTCGAAGGCGAACTTGACGGCGCTGTGCACAGTGCTGCGCCAGTCGCGCTCGATCTTCACGTGCCGCCGGGCGGGTGTGAGCTTTGCCAAGCAGTTGAGGCAGCTGATGGCCTTGAGCTCGAAGACGGGCCACTTGCTGCCCAGGCGACCCTCGAGGACGGTGCTGAACTCGACGAGGCTGCCCTGGCGCAGGCCGAGCAGCACGTCCTTGAACTCGCCGCTGGCCCGCAGCACGATGTCCTTGGTGACGTCGTCCTCCTCGGGGCTGCGCGCGCCGTTGGCGCCGCTGTACGGCATGCCCACCGTGATCTCGAACTTGTAGCGGTCAAAGCGCTTGATGTGGCACGGGTGCTTGGCCAGGCGCGTGAGGCGGCACAGCTCCTCCTCGGCCGTGGGCGCGCCCCCGCCGCCGTCGCAGGCCGGGTACGCCTCGCCGTACAGGCAGCGCAGCCAGTCGCCCACGAAGAACGGGAGCACATTGATGGCCGACTCGGCGCTGTTGTCGATCTCCGTCACGCGGACGTACTTGAAGCGGCCCGTCCACGTGACCCTGTGGCCCTCCAGGTGGCTGCAGAGGATCTGCGTGCGGGCCATGTTGGTCTCCTTCCAGGCCCGCGGGCCGCACAGGAAGCCGTACTGCTGCCACGTCAGCGTGGAGTTGTAGACCTTCATGCCCTCCGAGCGGTACACGTAAAACCAGCAGAAGAGCACCAGGGCGGTGATCCACACCAGGATGAGCTTGACGAGGGAGCTCCGCGTCAGCGACTTCACCGCGCCCACCGCCGACAACCTGGCCCTGGTCCACCAGCGGAACAGCAGCGGGACGCTGCACACGGCCACGGTGACGGCGATCTTGGTGAGCCCCAGGGACAGGAACCAGCGGGCCAGCTGCACCAGGCCCGTGAGCGCCAGGCCGGCCACGAGGACCGGGAGGGCGAACAGGAAGAGGAAGTAGCCCACGCTGGCGCGGACCAGCCCCAGGCCGGTGGACTCCAGCAGGATGACCACGGACAGCTCGCACCACATGAAGCAGACCAGGTAGGGCACCAGGTAGCAGTAGGTGCCCTTGAAATTCCTCAGCCGCGCCATGCGGAGGAAGAGGTAGAGCAGGTAGACGTAGAGCAGGCAGGGGACGCTGACGTTCAGGACGACCAGGTGGCCGAGGGGCACGGTGACGAAGGTCCGGCCCAGGAGCTGCAGGAGGCGCCAGTCCAAGGGCAGCGTGGGCAGCAGGGACAGCAGGCCGGCGGCCACCTCCGTCAGCAGGGCCCTCCTGGTGTAGGGCTCGGCCGAGGTGCTCAGGCTCATGTAGCTGGTGGCCGTGAAGAAGATGGCCACGACGGCCAGCTCGGAGCAGGGGATGAAGTCCTTGCAGGCGATGGGGAAGGAGAAGATGACGAAGAAGACGGACAGCAGGAAGTGCACGTAGGGCTCCAGGTGGTTCCAGCCGAAGTTCACCTCGGCCTCCTCCACGTCCAGGTTGGGCTCGAAGCGCAGGAGCAGGCCGGTGAGGGTGCGGAAGCTCTCCCAGGCCCTGCTGTCCTGGAACACCTTGAGGGTGCAGATCACCATGGAGACGAAGGACAGGTAGAAGACGACCAGGGGGATGAAGAGGGCGAAGAAGTCGATGGTCAGGTTGCTGATGATGAAGAAGAAGATGAGGGCGTTGATGTGGTGGGTGGGGACGATGGTGGACAGCCAGTGCATGCCCGCGCGGGAGGCCATGTCGATCAGGTACTCCTTGATTTCCATGATGGCGTGCAGGGGGTACTTGACCATCTGGGGGGGGAGGGGAGACAAAGGCGGGGCGCTGGAAGATCCTCACGACTCGGCCGGCCACGCGAGCTCTGTGCAAAGTGAATGGCTCACCCCTGAGCCCCGTGTCCCAGCCGGTCCTTCCCCAGAAACACCCTCTCCCCGTGACAACGTCCTCCCCATGCCCTGCGGTCCATGCGGACCCTCCCTCCATTCCACCCAGGCCTGCGGGTCCCGGCCCCTCTCCTCTGGACGCCTGGAGCCCGTCCCCCGGCTCCCTTCCCCTCCCAGTCTCCTGCCAGGGATTCGGGACTCCTGCGAACCAGGGTCCCCTTTGGGGCCCCGAGTGCCCGGGGGAATGCACCAGGCTCCCCTCCCCACGAGGCCTCGCTTGTGGACGCAGGAGCCCTGGGCTAGCACGTGGGAGCGGGCTTGTGACCTGATCACGCCCTCCCTGCCCCCCAGCAAGGGTTGCCCTGCCGGGCCTCGGCCCCCCCGCCCACTAAGGGCAGAGGGACCGATACTTCCAAGCCCATGCAGGCTCTGAACAGTCCCAGGAGCAGCTGTGGCTGGAGGGGCTCCAGGAAGAGCTCCCTGCAGACGTGAGCCGCGGGGGCTTCGTCCGTAAGGGGCCCGAGGAGACGCGATCGCCGGTGGCAGGGACCCCGAGGACCAGCTGCCTGCCACGGCCCACCAGCACACACCCATGCTGCTCGCAGCAGACACGCAACCGCATGACCACGTCTGCAGTCTGCACCCGGTGGAAAGGGCGGGGACGACCCTCGGGCATTGTGGCAGCGGAGGATGAATGAAGGGATGTAGGGGGCAGTGAGCCGGATCCCACACCCGCCGGGTTTTCTCTGCAGGACTCCCAGAGGCTCCCGGCCCTGCTAGGGCGCAGGGGAGCGAGAGACAGGCTGGAGGAGCCGGTCCTCAAGAGGTGTGGTGTGGAGGGCGGGAGTCTGGGGGTGCCTGGAGGGGCAAAGGCTTGGACCCCAGACCACACAAGCTCACCCTCGTGTGGGGGCGTGGAAGCCTGGCGGTACCCAGAGCCCACCTGAGGGGCTACGCAACGGACACCCATCACTGCCCCAGTGACGTGGGCACCGCGGCCTCCACCCGTGCCCTCGGGACAGGCTCTCCCTGCCCACCCTGCCGGGGTGTGGAGGAGAAAACCGGCCATGAAGGGGGTCCTGAGTGAGCGTAGCCAAGCAGTCACAGCAGGAAGTGGCTATCAGCCGAGAGTGACCAAACCCCCGAGAAGCAACTGCGTGGGGCCCGTTCCACAGAGGAGGGGCCCAGGCGCCGGCAGGAGTCTGTGGTAAGAAAGTGTGTGTGTAGCACACCTGTCGCTAGCGGCAGGACAGACAGAGGTGTCAGGGCCCCGTGGTATCCTGCGTGCCCTGCAGCTGGGACCTTGAGCTGGGGCTCAAGCTCTCCCCTCGGGCCTGAACTATTCACACGTTTTCTTTTGCCCTTGAGGCCAACACAGCGTGGTTGAGAGGAGCTTTAAAGGACAACGCAACCTCAACCTAATGCCCAGCTTGTCCTCTGTGTCTGGCCTCTGTCTGCCCGCGCAGGCACCGGGGCCGCGAGGACCAAGGAGTCCTTCTTCCCGTTGAGAGTCCCAACTCTGCCCCCCGTCGCTTCCATCCAGGCCCTGCTCTTGGGGACCCACTGAATCCGGAAACGGAAAACCTTTTCCGTAGACAGAGTCCAACAAATTAAAAGCTCGAGCTGTTCTTCAAGCAGGAAAGAGATTTTTAAAAAACAGAGCTGGGGGCCAGTTGTACGACAGGACGGCACAGTGCGCTCTGGCCAGGTCGGAGGCCGTCGGCCACTCTGCCAACCCGAGGGGCCCGGGGTGTGACGACGGGCCCCTCAGGCAGCTCATGGCAAGGCTCAGACCCACGTGAGTGTTCACACGTCGGACCTCGTCCAGAACGAACACAAAAACTGTGTGGACTTCAAGATACGACCACATTCCCTCTTCCGAGGGTTTCATCTGCCAGGAGAGGCTGGCTTGGGGCTCGTTGTCCGGAGCCCTCCCGGGGGGGCCACACCTGCTCACGGAGGCACTGGGCGCCTCGCTGCGGCCAGAAGACGGAGCCCTTCCTCTGCCTCCAAAAGGCAATTGAAAGCTGCAACAGCCTCGGTGTTAGAGACCCCCGCCAGGAGGCACCATCTCTTTTGCAAAATATGTTTAATGAGACGAACTGTAGAGGCAGCGAAGTGCTCTGCCAGTTTCAAACCCCGAGGGAAACGCAGAGCCCCGTGCACTGCTTGTCGGAACACTTTAAATCTCTGTCCCGAAAAGGACTCTGAGACGTCTCACAGCATTGAGGGCGACAGAATTTACCGTCCCAGCCAGGCGGGCTTGCGAGCAGGCGTCATTAGCCGGGACAGCGCAGGCCCTTCAGACTCACCCTTTCACCTCTGACCCTCACTGGAGGCTCGGGAGCGCCTTGTCTTGGCCCAGAACAACGGCCAGGGCCCCAACCCTTCTCTCAAGTTCTAAGGAAACTAACAGCATACCTGCGAAAACACGGCCCGGGGCTGCCTGTGTGGACCTTCCAAAAAGTCATGACCTCCCTCGGTCAGGCTCCTTGGCCATCCTGGCCTGTGGCTCAGAACGTCACCCTGAACACGGCACCTGTCCTCGGGGGACTCACTCGGCTTGCGGGTCCCGAGCGCGGCTACCAGGCCAGCCGCCCTGGTCTGAGCCTCCACATCTGGGCTCCCTTCAGGTGCTACGCGGACTCTCCATGCTTCCTGTCCCCCCCTCCCCACCTGCTGGCGGCTGAGCCATCGCCTGCTTCTCTGCCCCCCAATGGTGGTTCACCCCGGCCCCCACTCAGCTCACACCACATGGATGCGAGGACGACTAATGCCACGAGCTTCGTGCCGATTCGTCTGCTCAGAGCCGCTCACGCTGATGGGCCTGCCCGGGCTGGGCCGGGCCGGGCAGCCAGGCTCGCAGAGCTGCGGTATGCTCTGCAGAGTCAGAGAGCTGACCTGGGGACCCACCTGCACCGTGGTCTCCAAGGCATGACCAGGGAAGTGAAAGCTGTCACGGGAAGGGCATGGCCCACCATCCCTGGCTTCTGCACTCGTTCGTATGCCCTGTGCTTGCTCCTTGCTGCCTGTGGCTGCTCACGGGCCGACAGCAGGGGGCAGGAGTGTCTCCCTTCCATCCGGCCAGCCCATGGGGACCTCCTTGCACTTGTCTTTCCTCCCTCGGGACCCCGAGCCCCCCCAGATGTGGATGGACAGGTACCCGGCAGGGTCCTCCTGGTCTCTGAATATACCAGCACATTGCTTCTGGAAAGGCATCTTTGCGAAACTGACCTTCACTCCATGCCGTAAACGGATCATTTTTCAAAATGACAAAGTCGAAGTGAAAGTCGAACTCCAGAGCCTGCTGCTCTGCTGCCTGTAGTGGTTTGTGGAGACGGCCCCAGGAAGGGCACCCGTGCCCGTCCGTCACTCCAGAGCACACCGCCCCCAGCAGCGCCCTTGGGTTTGGAGCCTGAGTGCACGTGGAAGGCCCCTTACTTGAGGACACATCCTTACGCAGTTATGGGGACCGTCCCTGCGGGACGCGCCTCCACAGACAGGCTGCCCAGTCCCAGGGGCTCGCATGTCGGGCAGGGGCCCACCACCCACCCTTCCGAGATGGCACCAGGGTACGTGGAGAACGTGTGTCTGCTGGCCCCAGCCCCGCTTACCTTCAGGCGCAGGGGCAGATCCTCGGGGCTCTTGCCCGCCAGCCCGTCGTCATCATCATCCTGCAGGAACAGGTTGGTGGGGATGATGCCCTTGGCATACTTCTTGGTGATCTCCACGAAGTCATCCAGCGCTATGTAGCTCTTGGCTGGGGCACAAGAGAGAACAGTCCGGGGTCCGCCCACACTGCGAGCTCACCATGGCCCCCCATGGACAGGCAAGCTGGGGGCCCGAGGGAGGGAGGCTGAGCGAGCTCAGGCGGGCGCAGAGGGGCCGGTGGGGAGGAGAGAGGGCAGACAGGGCAGCCTTCACCCGGCCTCTTCGCCTCGGTGACAGCCGTGCGTCCCTCCCCTGAACTTCCGTCTGCCCAGCTCTCAACCCCAGCCAGTCCCGCAGCCACCTCCTCTCCTTCCGCCCCCGGCGGCAGCTGCCCCGCAGCCCACAGCCCGGCCACATGCCCACCCCCCACTCAGCGCGCATCCACAGAGGACCTGCTACATGCCAGGCACCGTGCTAGGCAGTGGGCTGGCAGGCGCACGCGAGCCCAGCATGTGCCCAGCTCTGGACTCCTGGTCTAGCCGGGTCGCGCTAAAGATGCCTGACTGCAGACGCGATGGGCTGCTCGCCAGGGTCGCGTCCACTCGGAACCGTCCCCCAGGCGGGGGGGAGTGCGATGAGTGACTCGGCACAGCGATCATGATCGTGAATGGGCAGCCAGCCACAGGGCTGATGGGGCCGTGAGCCGCAGGGCTGCTGTTCTCCAGGTGCTCCTGAGGCCTCCCGTGCAGGGGCTGCTTTCGGGACACTGGGGACACTGGGGACAGAAGCCCATTGCAGAAAAGGGCAACAGACAGCATCGAGAGTAGAGGAAACAGTGTCGGGAATGCAGCGAGCATCCTGGGAGAGGGTGGGGCGTGGACAAGGGGCTGTTCCTTAATACGAGGTCAGGGGGCCATAAGGGTCAAGACAAGGCAGCCTAGGGCGGGGCCCACTGAGGGACATGTGGCTGGAGCTGACCGGGAACAAGCAGGGAAGAAGAGGGGGCCCAGTGGCCTGGCCCAGGCCATGACTGGGGTCACGGGTGGCATCTGAAGCCTGTTTCAGATTCTGTGTCTCCCTCCCTCTCTGACACTCCTCTGTTCATACTGTCTCTGTCTCTCTCTCAGAAATAAATAAAACGTTAACAAAAAAAAAGGAAGGGGGAGCAGAGAAACAGGGCAGGGAGGTGGCCACGGGAACAAGGGGTCCAGTGAGGGTCTTAGTTTTATTTTCTGAGGGAAGAGGGAGAAGAGGTATAAGCATATGTTCACAAGCTGCTAGGAGAGTCCCCGTGGGGCGAGGGAGGCCAGCGGCCCGAACCCCAGGGGGGCCGGCCTGGCCGGCTGGTGGCAGGGCGAGGACCATGGTCAGCGCTGTCCACACCCGCCTCCAGAGGCCGGGTGCCTACCCGGCCTTCACCGCGGGTGGGCCTCAGACCCGTCCCTCCCAGCCCAGAGCACGTGATCTCCCCCCCACCCCCCAGGGTGCCGTGACCTGGCAGCAGTTGCAAGGCCCACAGGAAGTCCTGAGCAGTTAACCATAAAGTCCCCAGGGTGGAGAAGGCAGCGCTGGGCAGGGACCTTCTGAGAGGGCCATACTGCAGTCCCAGAGGCGCCTCTCACCCGACTGACTTCCGGCACCTCCGCGTGTAAAACCCACATAAACCCACGTAAACCCAGCCGTCCTTCCGGTTCCTATTGGCCGGACGTTCCCCTCCGCTGCAGAGTCCTACGTGGCTTAGGATCCCGTGTGCCTAACATGCCCGGGATGCACTATGCCCCAGGGTTCCAGTGACGCATCAGACAGACTGTTTACAGCGCTGTGGGAAGGGGGGAAGCGCCCCCCTCTGTAGGGAAGCTCTCTGGATTGGTGGGGCCCTCGTCCCTCTCCTCTGACCATCACTGTGCAGAAGGGGAAACTGAGCCCTGGGGCAGGAAAGCCAGGCCTGCCTGAGGTCAGGAGGAGAGGGTGTGGCCGAGCCGGGGGAGGACCCAGGCCTCCCATCAGTGCTGAGCAGCCCCCTGGGCCCCTCCTGTCTGTTTCCCCTGGGACTCAGGGGGCAGGAAGTACGACCAAGAAGCCGCCCACCGGCCGGGCAGTGGCACACAGCATTAGAGGACCTCTCCTAACTGGGTGCCCCAAACCCTCCATTCTCCACTCTCCAGCAGCCCATGCTGGGGGGAGCCCCACACTGCCCGCTGGGTGACCCCCACCCCAGGCCACTGTGTGTGGTTCCCGCCCCCTGCCCTCAGGGGCTGACTGCCTCCTCGTCCTGGCAGCTTGCTGGGGCACCCCAGATGCACTCACGTTCCCCCATCCCTCTGCCTGCAGGGACCGTCACACTGTCCCGTGTCCCTCTTCTTTCCAAGCCGTACGTTCCCGCTGGGCAGAGCCCCACTGCCCGCAACACCGATAGCCCCAGATGGACTGGACTGAAAAGTCCATTTTGCCTCCCAAGACTTTGGGGGATGTGGCGCTGCGGTGCCCGTGGACGTGGGGCCCGGGGTGGGGGGGCCGACCAGCTGGGCCACGGCTGTCACGGCTGTGGGACTGGAGGCCATACTCACATTCGCTGCTAACCAAGCGCTCCAGCACTCGCCTCTGCTTCTGTAGGAACTTGGGGACCGGGCCTGGCTGTGCTCCTCCATCTGCAAGTGACAGAGGGGCTAGAGAATCAAAGTGAGATAACTGTCCTGTAGGCCCCGCGACCTTCCAGAAACCAGCCCATGAGCTCCCAGGGCCGCCACGCAGCCCACGGTGGGCACCGTGAGGGCCACCTCTGCGCCTCTGCCCACGAGGCCGAGCTGGCACCCAGGGGCACGGCCACCTCCCCTGCCAACGCGGCCAGGGCAGTGGACACACCGCAGTTCCTGGGTGGCGGAACCTTTGCCAGCACTGTCCCTTGGTGTGATTTCGCCCCGGAATAGACAGTGCGCCCGGGGCCAAGGGTCAGGCCTCCCCTGGTCTCCCCAGCCCTGGTGCTGGAAGGGGCCCACACGAGTCCGTTCAATGGCTGAGTCAGGACTGAAGTGTTCCGCCCCTTTGTCAACATCCAGCAGCTGCCGCGCCCCTGGTCTGGCGAGCATTCTAGTCTTCCCGCATGCCAGGTGCCAAGGCGTGCCTTTGCAGGGTCCGGTCAGGCAGTGACAGCACAAGGGGAGAGGCACTGTGACCGGGAGTGACCGGGGGCCACAGGGGCCTGGACGCGCTGGGAGTGGCCTGGGGTGGGGGCTGACCTGTGGCATGCAGGGCCCCTGGGGCCCCAGCTCATCACGGCAAGCATGGCTCTCTGGGTGCTGCCGTCCAGGCCCCAGGCCTCACGGATCCCTTGGCTCGGCCCCAGTACCGAGAGAGCTAAGGGCCAAAGGAGCCCACTGGGCAGCCTTCTCTGCTGTCGGCAGGTGGCCCCAGGCCCTGTCGCGTGTACCCAAGGGCAGGGGACGCAAAGTACAGCCCCGGGCGGGAATCAACTTTCCGAACAGCTGGAGGCAGGTGCTCCTCGAGTTAATGGAGAGGAAAAAGCCAGGTGGGGCCCCAGGACACTAAGAAGCCAAACCCAGTCAGGGACACCCGTTCCTCTGCCCGTCTGTCCTCCTGGCTGGCGGCCGGGTCAGGAGGCTGGGGGAGGGGCTGCGGAGGCTGGTGATGAGCCTGCCTCAGGGAGGCCATCAGAGCCCCGGCCGGCTCCACAGCCCTGGAGCGCTGGGGCCTCGGTGGCCCGAGTCCCTGCCCGCATCTGTTACTCCCCTTGCTGGCTTCTGTCCCCTCGGGAGGAGCAGGACAGCCTCAGAATGACATGATCTGTGGCCCTGCCTGTGGGCGCCCAGCCCCTCGACCGCTCCAGAGCTCCGGGCAGGGCTTAGGAAGGGGACCCCAAGGACAGGGTGACACCCCAGGAGGGACCCTCCCAGGCCTTAGAGGAGACCCATGAGGCCTCCACGACAAGGTCCTTGGGAGTCCCCAGTTAGGCTCCCAGAGTCCCCAGAGGGGAGCCCCCAGGATTCCAGAGACGCCCACGACGTGTGGGCGCCAAGGGCCGGCCCCATGTGGCTCACGTACCGTGCTCGTTGACCTGCCCGACGTTCTCCAGCAGCTCTGACAAGGCCACCTGCTTCTTCTTCTTGGGGTTGAGCTTCCAGTACATGACCAGGGCCGCCTTGCGCACGGCCCGCTCCAGGTCGGTCTCGGAGGAGAGCTGCCTCACCTCTTGCTCGTTCTCAGAAGTGATGCCTACAAGACCAGACGCATTAGAGGCCTGGTCCCGCCTGCCTGGGTGCCCTCAGCAATGCTCTGAGCCCCGACCCGACCAGCTGTGCCATTGGCGCTTGGGAGGGGGCTCACGCGACAGGCTTTGCAGGCCCCTGTGGTCACCAGGGCAGAAACAGACACCTGACCCACAAGGCCATTTTGGCCAAGTCCCTGCCAGGACCCTCTCTCCAGCTCTGGCTGCAGCCTGGCAGACCCGCCCCAGACGACCCTGGGGGCTTCCGTGGTTCCTGGTGGCTCACGCCCCTCGGGAAGTAGATACTGCTCGCCTCGTATGCAGATGGGGAAACTGAGGACCATCGCAGCTTGTCTGAGGCCAGGGAGTCAGGGACAGGCAGAGTGGCCGGTAACCACGGAAGTCAGAGACACGTAACCAGGGTCACCGGCCTGGGTGCAGGTGCGGGACTTCCCTGTGTCCCCAGGAGCCCCCCAGGCGCTGCCCCTCCTCCGACGGCCAGGAAAGCCATGTTCCCGCACAGCTGTCCAACCAAGGGAGACAGAGACTCACCACAGAGAGAGACAAGGGGTGCGGCTGCCTTCTTCCTTTCACCCCCAACTGTCAGAGACATCGGCAGCCCCCCACCGAGAAAGAGAACGGGACTTTTTTTTCTCCCTTTAAACATCTTCCAAATGTTCCACCTGAGCACACATTTCTCTCAAGGACAGGAAGCACCCGATGCGAGAAAGCACGGGTGCAGAGCACGTGAGGCCACTCCTAGCCCTTTCCAGCACCCGCCTGGGTTCCGGGGTCCTGACCTGACCCTTCCTTAGAGCCTCGTGGGCTGCGGGCTGCACTGACTCGCTCTGGCCGGCACCGGGCCCTTCCTCCTGCTCCAGAACGGGAGGGTGGGCTGGGTAGACGTCCCGGCTAACAGAATGCACCATTCTGGCTTTTCAGAGGCACCTGCCCCATTTCCAGAGAAAGCATGTTCCGTATAATAAATGTAATTCTTAGAAACGTCACAACACAAAACCAGAAGAAAATATACCAAACTACATGGCATTTTCTTTCTGGGTTTCAAGGTTATGAGTAATTTCTATCTTTCTGTTTTCTACGTATTCCAAGTTTTATATAATAAGCACAAAACACTTCTACAATCTGGAAAAATGTTTAAAAAAAAAGGTCCTTTACGACACAGCTGTTCCTTTGTCTCTGAGGTCTGAAGCCCCCAGACCCCACTCCTCCACAGCACCAAGGACAAGCCATTTCCCTTGGGCAGGACAATGTGATAAGCGACCACCAGTGGCCGGGCTCTGCCTCACTGTCCCCCTCACCGCCCCACCCCCCTACCAGTCCCCTTCCAGGCATGAATGCATCTGAGCAGATCCTCACTGTCCCACGGTCCCCCAGTCGTTCTGCCCAGACTGGATGCAAAGTCAGTCCAGAAAGTTCCATCCTGACCTCAGCCCACTGTCACATTCTCCCGCTGCACCACAGGCAAGCTGACCCTCCACTGGCTCTATGATCCACTCCTCAATCTGGATCCACCTACAGACACCAACACATGCTAAAGAGGATGACAGTGACTTTGTGGGCTAAACACGCCGTATTAGGCTCCAGAAATAACGTCCAAATGACAAAAGCACTAGCAAAACAGAATTTACACTTCTTTCTCAAGAGCGTCACCAGCTTCAGGGGCCCCTGGGTGGCTCAGTTGGTTGAGAGACCAACTTTGGCTCAGGTCATGATCTTGCGGTTTGTGAGTTTGAGCCCCGCGTCGGGCTCTGTGCTGACAGCTCAGAGGCTGGAGCTGCTTCAGATTCTGTGTCTCCCTCTCTCTCCCCCTCCCCTGCTTGCTCTCTCCCTCTCTCTCTCTCTCAAAATAAGAGTGCCACCAGCTTCCGATTTTCCCACTGCTGTTATCTGCTGACAGGGTCAGAAGCAACGCATCCCTCGGCGGCCACCCGGAGCCTCCCGCTGACCCACCTTTCCTGTCCGCCAGGCAGCGGCGGAGTAGCTTGACCGCCTCGCGCCGGCCCTGCTTCGCGGCGAGGATCAGCCAGCCCACGGCGGTGCAGTTGTTCAGCTCCTCGTCCGCATGGCCGGCCAGCTGCAGGTAGTGCTTCCCCACCTGCGGGCGGGAACCGGGTCAGGACACAGCCCGCGCGCACGCACCCGGGCACCGGCTCTGTGTCCTGGCCCCGACCTGCTCCCTGTGGCTGGTCCCTCTCCTGCCCCAGCGTCCCAACCAGCCCGCCTCCCCCACCCGTCACCCAGGCCAGCCCGCCTCCCCCACCCCCGTCACCCAGGCCAGCCCGCCTCCCCACCCCACCTCTGGGAGCTTCAGACCTGCACCAGGCTGGGCCTGCGGGACCCTCTCAGCAGACCACAGCGAGGGTGCGGCAGGAGGTGGCCCTCAGGGGACGGGGTGACCAAGACGAGGCGTGGGCCGGACACGGGAAAGAGCATGGGGACCCCATGAAGCAGCGGGAGGCAGAGTGTCATGGAGACCATGGAAACGAGCAGGCGGCTGGTGCGCAGTCAGCCTGCTCCCCGCTCCCTGTTCACAGGGCATCGGCCCTTCCCAGGCGGCCACGTGGTGGGGCCGAGGCCTGAGCTCCTCACCTCTGTCTGTGCCTTGGCATCCCCCGCCTTGGCCTTGTCCAGGACTTCTTCAAAGGGCATCTCCGCATCGCCCTTCGCGGGCCCTGTAGCACGGGAGAAAAGCAGACAGACGGTCGCGAGGCTGGTCCTTGTCACTTGGTGGGAGTGGAGGGACCGCAAGAATGTGCCCAGACCCAGGGCAGCTTTGCTGAAATCCCAGTCAGACCTGGAGAGAATATTCCAGAAAGCTGACATCTGGAGATGCAGACGGCCCTGGAGCACGGACAGCAAACCTGCCGCAGGGGGCGGTCTTCAGCAGCGGCTCAGAGCGGGAAGAGCGTGGGGCCCCGCCCCCTGACACCTCCCCCACCCAGTGCAGGCCTGCTTGAGCTGGGGCTCCAGAAGGATCCCAGCGCTCCAGCGGAAAGGCCCCTGACCCAAACACACACCCACGCCCTGCCCCCATACCAAATCCGTGTTTTCCAAGACTGCCATCTACACATGCACCATTTTGGGGTCACAATCTGTGCACCCACATTTTGACGCGTATACGTTTACAACAGCGAATCACTGCCATGGTTCAGAGACCCGTCGGAGGAACGTGCCAGGGTGTGGGGCCCCTCCACTCGACTGGGCCCTCACGTTATTCCTACAACTCCGTGATTTCATAAAACGGTGCCCCAACCGCCCCGGGTGTGTATCTCCTTGGGGGTTCGTCTCCTGGCACAGGTCCTTCTGTTGAATCACTAGGGCCCAAGGGCCCGACCAGGTATGGCTCATGCTGTAGCCTACGCTCCAGAAAGTTACCCCAAGTCACAGCCGCCGTGTGGAACTATGCCAGCGTCACCGTTACCTTACCAGCAAGGGGAGCACGACAGTAAGAAGTTTAAAAACATCCTTTTTACCCGTCCCTGTCTTGGATTTCTGCGATCGACACTCACGGGCCCACGTCCGCCTCCCCGGGCCGCCGCCGCTCACCCACTTCCTGCCTTGGCAGGTGTAAGACACCTTGCAGTAGTTCACGACCACAGCGCTGCTGACTTTACAGCAGGGGCTCATCAGACATGACAGCCTCCTCACTCTCTAGATGTTTCTGGAAATGGGAGGCAGAATGAAGGGAAACCAAAATATGGCCCCCAGGAACAACACCCAATAACCCGCCTTCCCAGAGCCAGCTCTGCCTGTAACGGCCAAGGCCACGGGCTGCTGCGCTCGGGGCACCCGAGTCCACGGGACACAGGACTCCGGGGGGAAGCAACAGGGGCCCGAGCCTACACGGGCCGCACGTGCAAAGGCAGAGAGGCCCAGGGGACCGAGGACACAGCTCTGAGCAGGGAGGCTTCTTATCTCAGACCTCATGCTCAGCTCAGGGACACACCCCATGGCCCTCCTGGTGGGCGGCTGGAAGATACCCGCCCTGAGGAGTTCCGACTAGAGTTCCGACTGGACTTCCTCCCTGCGGTCCTCAGGGATCCCGCCAGCAACGGCCTCAGCACGCCCACCCTGCCTGCCTCCCGGCCAGGACCTCAGTGCCTCCTGAGCCACCAAGGTCACTTCCTCCTTCTGGCTGCTGTCACGGCCCCTCCGGTCCCTGACGCTCTCTCTGGCCCAGAGCACAATGCAGGCTCCAAGCTGGCCCCTTGCACAGTCTCCCAGGGAAGGAGTGTGCACGTGGGGAGAAGTCTGACCTGTGTGTTCTTTTCGCCATCAAAGTGCCGCGTGACCTAGCCACTTATTTCCAACCTAATTGTTAACATCCATCTGGCAGGACAGTTATAAAGACCAAGCTACTTTGTCTCAAGTGACTGGGCCAGAGCCAGCATTCCCAGAACGTGCATTTCTTTTCCGTCCATGCTTTCCACCTCCCGGCTGACCCCAGGGCCTTTGCTGCTCACCAACACCGCACTTCCCACCACAGCGCCCATGGGGCGCCTCCCACAAGTTCGCAACTTTTCTTCACTGAATTCACAAGCCCACATTCTTTTTGTGTTCTAATCAGAATATAGAAGACTCAAGCATATCTGCTGGCTAAAAAGATGCTGTCCGTGATTAATTTTCACAGAAGTTACTCATAGCCTGACATTTCAAGAAGTTTCCCCAGTACACAAATTCTCGTTGAAATGTACGCCACACCTTTATTATTTGAGCTTCCATTTGGCCGACAGAAGTATTTTTATACCACTCACATGCTGGGCCCACGCCGCAGACCCATCAGAGGGCTCTGGCTTTTTCCATGTAAGTAGGAGCCTTCCCACAGGTCACGGGCTTACTGCTCAGCACCATATTGAACGCCCCCCCCACCCCCCACGGCTGAGTCCGTGTGGACCGAAGACCACGAAACACACTATTCTGTGCACGTCCGACCAGCACTCCCATCTTTTTCCTGATAGTAGCGTCTTGATGCCCCTCTTGGGTACCCATCCTTCCCCATCTCAGTCCTCAACGTCTGGTGGCGCTGTCCCTATATGCAGGATGGGTACAGCACACCCTCCAGCCCATCACAAGCCTCTGTCTCCCTGACCACAGCACTTGGTTCAGAGATGGACACAGACCCAAGCCAGGCCAGCGGGCTTTGTGCTGAACTGCTGGGAAGCAGGCTTCCTGCCACTAGGTCTTGGCTGATGGATGGCCCCTGAGAGCCCCGGAGGGCCGCCCGGTGAGGACAGCCCACCCAAGGGGAGGGAAGGGGGGCTGGGGTTCCTGATCACATGATCTGAGCCCCCGGATCCAGCCACATGTAGAGCCAGCATACCGTACACTCTGCAGATTCACGGGACTAAGAAATTCCTCTTAGTTTTATCTCCTCTGTCAATGTACAGTGTTTCTGGCAACTTACAAGCGGAGGGGTCCTGACTCGAACTTGATTTTGAAAAGCTTCCTAGCACAAAGCAGCCAGGGTCAGAGCTGCGTGGCCTTGGGCAGGTCTGTACGCCTCTGCCAGAGTCCACAGAGAACCACGTACACACCGTCCCCCAATTTTTTCCTTGTTTATGTCCACGGATCCCGTGCGTCGCTGACCTGGTAGGTGGCCCTTCTCGGCAGCTAGCAAGGTGAGCAGAGCCCCCGGGATGCGGTCCCCTGTCCCCAGCAGGGCCCACTGCCGTTTCCCCGCCACAACCACAGATGCAGTATCTACACGGTGTCTCAAAGCTCCTGCCAGCCTTCGTGGGGACAATCGGTCTAGTGGGTGTGACCCATCTCCAGACCAGATGCCAGCCAGCATGGGACAGTGCGGCTGGATAAACGGTACAGGATGGAGGGAAGAGGGGCTGGGGGCTGCTGAGGGAAGGATCACGAGAAGGGTCTGCAGCCTTCCTGTCCCCCCACATGCCAGCGCAGGGACAAGGCACGTGCTCGGCATGGTGCCTGCACTGAGCTCGCCCCCTGACCCCCGCGGCTGGAGCAGGTGCTCTGCGGAAAGGGAAGAGGGTCCAAGGCCATGCAGCTCCCATATGGGGTGGCCAGGCTGCCCTACAGCGGGGGGGGTCCCATGCCCAGGGAGGGGGGCTGTCCTGCACCCAGAGGGTGTCTCAGCAGCCTCTGGGATGCTGACTCTTATTCTCGCAAACAAATGGGGAAAACCCTTGTAACCCCGTCTCTGCCCGGGGCTGGCTGAGCTGGGGCAGGGGGCCTGGCCGGGAGGCCTGCTCTCCCGACGTCCCGAGCAGGGGCCATGGACTCGGCTCCTCACCACACACCCAGCAGGTTACAGAGAGCTGGCCCCATGCCAGCTGAGCGCCAGGAGCTGAGGGCACCGAGCTGAGTGGGGCAGGACCGCTGCCCTCCAGGCCCGCCCGGGGGCTCAGATGATGACTGTCACATTGCATCAGTGTGGGCTAGGGGCTGTGGAGGTGTCCAAAGTCATCAACCCTGATGGGGGGGGCGGGGGGGAGCGTCGCTTCCTGGAGGAGGTGACACCGGAGGCTTGGAACCCAAGTGGGTGGTTAAAGGTAACGGATGACGGGCATGCTGCCAAGTTTCCAAAGGTCTCTTGAAGCCACCACACCCCAGACAGACTCACCGACCCTGCCATTCTGCTGCCTTGCAACAGGTCTTCCGACAGCGAGGGGGTCACGGCACGGGCAGGGCGTTCAGACAGACCACAGACCAGGGCTTTGAGCGGGTTCAGAAGAAAGTGATGTGTGCACGAAACTTCCTCAGTTATCACAGGCTGGCTCCTCGAGCAGAGCGTGGGAACCCAAGGGGTCCACGGCTGCGACGTGTCCCCAGGACGCCAGGGCCTCAACGCTCTGCATCTCCTCATGTCCCCACACCAGCGTCGCTTCCCACCGTCCAGCTCTGAGCCCCACCCCCGCCGCGGCTCCCCCAGAGGCCCCGGGGGCCAGCCTTGCCTCCGGCCATGTCATTCCTGTGACTTAAACCCTCTAACGCTCCCCAGAACACCTTTCTCCTCATCATGACCCCCAAGGGCCCACCTAGCTGACCCCCTGCCCGCCCCCAGCACCCTGACCCCTGCCCAGGGTCTAGCATCCAGCACGGTGCAGGTCCTTCTTCATTTACCCACCCGGGATCCCTCCTGGAGGGCAGGGCCTCCGTCGACACTGGGGTGCAGGCTTCCTAGCAGCTGCACGTCCACCCGAGGGCTCCCCCGCCCGTCTGTGACCCCACGGCCAGGAGGCCTCACAGGGCTGGCGCTCCCTCTGGCAATCCGTTGCAGCCCACCGAGGTCAGCACACAGGGCGCCTCGTGCTCCCGGGGCCCCCACGACGTCAGCTGTCCCCGGCACGGTGCCTGCCCTCCGGGACAGTTACTGTTCGCTTCTGTCTCTCCCTGGCTCGAGGGCTCCGGGAGGGGGGCAGGCACCACCCCTCTGTCCCCACCAGAGACCACCCGGGCCTCAGCCTGGCAGTCTCTGCGTCCTCCTGCCCTGGGCTCCCCGGAGAGACGGCCCAAAGGCACGGGGCACACAGCAGTACCCCACCTGCCGCTCTTGGGAAAGCAGTCACAGAGTGTGATCAAACGGCCGCCTCACCAGCTGGGGGCCCCCGGGGGCACCTATTTCACCCATTTCCCCAGGTTTTCTCATGAAGATGTTGGAGAAACGAGTGAGAACCTAGTAGAGAGAACCTAACGGATACCCAGCACGGGAAGCGTCACTTGCACACTTACTCTCGCCGTCACCTAACTGACATGCATTGCACCTGTGTGTCTGGAACCCACTGAAACATGCTCACGAAGCCTCTCTGGGGGCAGATGCCGTCTGGGCTGCACAGGGCCGGCAGGGCAGGGCCCACTGCGCCCTCCTCAGTGACCAGTGTCAGCCGCAGAGCAGCAGGTGGGGGCTGGGACCCCAGGGCCATGGGTCTGCCCAAGGCCCGTTCTCTCCCTCCGTTTGGGGGCGGACGGCAGCCAGAGGCCACAGCTGCCGCCTAGCTCCTACCTGAAACTTGCAGTCTTGACCCCGCCCCCCGGGGCTGTTTTGCACACTCAGATCGAAACCACGTGTGTCTCCTGGCCTGGTTTTGGTGCCCTGAAGCCGTGAGGCGTCCTCTGTGGCTGAGGTCCCAGGGTCGAGCCCCCTTGCCTGCCCAGAGGCCTTGGAGACAAAGCAGAGAACACGGCGACCTTTCAAGGAGATGCAGAGATAGGAAGTGCCCGAGGACCCAGTGAATTTCTGGAGTAAATCAGGCACCGGGCCCAGCGTGAATGGCATAGGGGAGCCTCAAGTCCGCTCCAGCCAGAACTTGATCTCCGCTGGGCAGGGCTGGTGGTGGCCCAGGAGACTCGGGTCACCGGTGCACCCGTCATGCAGCAGCGGGTCACCTGGGCAAGTCTGTGCCTCCATTTCCTCATCTCTAGGTGGAGTAATGACAGAGCTTCCCTCGCAGGCCACTGTGAGGGGCAGCCGTGGCCCATGGAGAGCCCAAGGGCAGATCAACCCTGAAGGGCTCATGGCGGGTTTGGGGTTTCCGCACGGGTGGCACGGCGGAGCTGGGGGGTCATCCCAGGCAGCGACCTGTCTTCAGGAAGAAGAAAACGACGAAGCCTGGGGGAGATGAGAAAGGGGAGCAGAGGTGCGGCCAGGGGGGCAGTGTGGGCTGGGCTTCCTTAGCTCGTAGAGACCGGAAGCCTCACCTCAACAGCCTGGGAGTAAGGAGATCGTCACAGCATCCTACCCACCCGCGGTGACAGAGGTAAAGAGAGCACCACCCCCCACCACACACACGTGCTCACACCCAGTTAGTGGCATAACAAGCCTCCTTTAAGGGAGAGAAAGCCTGGTGCACACACGGCCCAACACACATGGTCCAAGGAGGGGTTGAAGGGGAGATTATAAAACAGCAGATTCCCACCCACCCCGGGAGGAGGTCTGAACAGGACCTCGGTGACCAGGGGGCCTGCTGTTTGGTGGCTGTGCTGCAGTGTGAGGTACAGAGCGTCTGTGTGCTGGCAGGGTGTGCCCACGGGCACCACGGGCCCCAACCCGGCACCCCACCGACGCCAGCATGCCTCTGTGTGGCCGGGGCCCGATGCGCGTCTGCCCGGCGTACAGAGCCCTGGGCGGGACTGCACGCGCTGGTGTGGTCGCGCCCACGCCACAGATGCAGTAACGGGCTCATCGTGGCCTCCCAACTGTCAAGGTCACGTGGCTTGGGGGCCCGCCAACGTGACAGTGAGGTCCCGGCCCTGCCTGGGGCACCTCAGGGCCCTGACGGTAAGTAATGGCTCGTGTGCACAGACACGTGCTCAGGGGTCCCGGCCTGTAAAGGTCCGTCCGCGGAGAATGAGTGCCGGAGCCGAACTGCAGGAAGACGCTTTATGAAGTGCATGTCTCCTTGAATCACACACCCCGTTAAACTGTCCACGAGCAGCATGCACGGTGAGAAAAGTGGTGTCTTGGAACTTCCTGCTGCCGTGTGTGTGTGTGTGTGTGTGTGTGTATGTGTACACACGTGTGCAGGCACTCACATCAGGTAAGGGCGGCTCATGTACTTCCAGCGGTGGGTCAAGGTCAGAAAGTGTATGAGGCAGTCGTGCCCTAAGAGCCAGGTAGGGTTCCAGCGGGTGGAGATGGTGAGGCACATTTTGGGTGGAGCTCCCACATGGCACGGGGAGGGGGAAGCCTGGAGGCCCGCCTGGAGGCCGGAGAACAGTCCCCGCATGCAGGGAGGAGGCGCCAGTACCCCCGGAAGAGAAGTAACGGGAGCCGGTGCTCTGAGCAGGACAGCACGACCGTGCCCCACCGCTGCTGGAGTGGACGGTCCCCGTGGACACGCGGGGTGGAGTCGCAGGAGGAGAACGCAGGTGGCAGCTGTACTTCCCACAGACGCCGGGGCCGCAGGCTTGGGGCTGCTCCCTCCAGGCGTCCACGAAACTCACAGGGACGCACGACCGTCCCCACCCACGGCAGCCCCCAGAGCGTGAAGAAACGTCTCAGGCGAGGCTTGTGCTCCGGCTCAGTGACCAGTCCTGCCCCCAGACCCCTGCCGGCATCTCTCCGTCACAGGCCAGACGGGCATCGTCCCCCTCGCCCCTCCCTTCGCCCTCGCCACTGTCACCGGGGAGGTCGCTCTCTCAGCTGCCGTGCCCTCTCCTCCCCGTGACTCTCACTCCAGCGTCTCTTCCCACCACTGCAGCCCCAGGCTTGGGTCACTTCGGGGCTCCCCAGGCCCCATGCTTCCCTCTGCCCCCGCCCCCACACTGTGGGCTCATGGGAGTCGGGGGCAGGCCTGACTCCCCTGTGGTGCCCATGGCCCTGGCCCATGGCCACTCAGGGCCGTACTCGGAGCGGGAGGTGCATGCAGGACGGCCCAAGCGCTAGTGCCCCTCTCCCAAGGTCAGCGACCTTGACCAACTATCTGGGTCCCACCCAGGCCCCCACGCTGACCCCCCTCTGCCCCTGGGAGGTGCCTCCGGGAAGACCTTGGGGAACAAAAACCTCAGGAGGCCCAAGAGTGGGCGGGGGTGGGGGGTGGCCCTTAGCCGTCTGGCCTAGGGATGGGGAACAAGGTCTACAGGGCACTGAGGACCCAGGCCTGGGCCCAGGAGCATTCCAGGGTGGCAGGTGGCCCCTGAGGGGGATGGCCACATGTGTCCCCAGACCGACCAGAGCTGCCCACCCAAATGGCCAGGAGAGCAGCCTGGCTCAACATGGGCTTCCCTGAGTGCCAGGCGGGACCAGAGGGGGAACTCTCCTCTCAGCACCCAGCCTCGGACGTGCTAAGGATTGCTGGCTCCCGAGCCCCGCCCCTTACCTGTTCTGTCCACCCTTTCTCGGCTCCCAGGGCTCGGGGCCGGGGCCACAGCTGGGCCAGCTGTGTCTGCTACATCTGGTCCAGGCCCCCCTTGGGGTTTAGGAGCTTGGGGCACCCCGCTCATGTCCTGTTCCACTGAGGCGGTGGCGTTGAGCCGCGAGCGGGCCTGGGGCTGCGGCGGTGGTGGAGGCTGGGGGCCAGAGGGGCTCGCTGAGGGGGCGCTGGGGTCCATCCTGTGGGCGAGAAAAGCCAAGGGTAAGACACTGGGGCAGCAGAGAGGGGACAGAAAGGGAAGTGGGGTGGGGGCTGCCTCCTGTTGTGTATGGGATCTCACTCAACCACACCACAGCCCCTAAGACCATGTCCATTTTATAGATCAGAAAACTGAGGAAAGAAATTTACTCAAGGCATCTGGCTCAATAGGCTCCAAGCAGTCATGACCTTGGGCCTGAGGTCTTGAGGCCCAGAGTCGTTGCGTCCATCAGCAGGCATGAGCCATGGAATCTCAGGTCTCCTCATCTGGGGGCAGAGATGATGAGAAGCTGTGAGGACCCAATGAAATATTCCACAGCTCAGCACCCAGCTGAATGGTGGCCTCCAAATGATACGTCCGTCCCCAATCCATGAAGGTGACCCTATTTGTAGATGTAATGAAGGATTACATCCTTGAGATGAGGTCATCCTAGATTAGGGTGGGCCCCCGTCCAATGGCCAGTGTCCTGATAAAAAGAGAAGGGAGGGAGGCCTGGGTGGCTCAGTCGGTTAAGCTCTGGACTCTTGATTTTGGCTCAGGTCATGGTCCTGTGGTCTCGTGGGCCTGAGCCCCAGATCGGGCTCCGTGCTGGCGGTGCAGAGCCTGCTTGGGACTCTGTCTCCCCCATTTCTCTGCCACTATCCCCCTCGTGCTGTCTCGGTCTCTCTCAAAATAAATAAGTAAACTTAAACCAGCCACAGAAGAAAAGGTAAATACATGTTAGAAGGTAAGTGGAGGGGAGAGGAGGGCGGTGGGGGGGGTGGGGGGGCGGCGGGAAGCAGGGAGGGAACAGCCGCAGAGCTGGGACACGGTCAGACCTCAACTGCAAAGCCTTCCATGCCCTCCATGCCCGAACCACAGGACAACTGTCGAGCCTGAACGTCACCAGACGTGAATAGGCCCTGAAGAGCAGAGAGAGGCGCCCCGGGACAGGGGAGGAACTGGACCACGGTAGTGAGCACGATCCACGGCCGCCTCATAGCAGCGGGCAGGGCTCGAACCGTCCACGAACGGACCTCACATGCTCTGCAACATGGCAGAAAACACCACTGCCACAACCAAGGGCAACCAGGAGTCAGGGGCACGGAGCTGGGCGCTCTGGGAGGTTCCCCAGCCCCAGGATCCCCGACCCGGGCCCTGGATGGACTTGAGGGGACACAGGCCCCTGGTGGGGCCTACATGTGCGCTGAGTGGGGGGACCCAGGGAAGCTTTTGCTCAGAAAAGATGTGACCCTCTCCAGACTCAAGGCCACATCCACCCTCTTCCCTGAGATGAGGGAACAGCGCAGTGCAGGGAGAGGCTGCTAATGGAGAGCTGGTCCCATCCCTCCACCCCCAGCAGGCCACGCCCCTCCCTGCCCCTTAGTTTCCTCCACTGTAAATGGGACAATCATCCCACGTGAGGGGGCGCTGTGAGGACCAGATGAAGTAGAGGCCACAGGCTGCACAAGGCGGCCAGGTGTCCACCAAACAGCCAGCTCCAAGCACTCACGGCATGTTTCTGGACACTTGTCACAGGAAGGGTCGAGGTGGCCCTGGTCACCACACGCCTGTCCCCGGGGGCTACACCGCCACGCCTACCCTGTCCGCAGCCGCAAGTGGGTCCGAGAGATGGGATGTGTGTCCGCCAAACGACCCCACAGATTTCCATCTGGACATTCCTGACTCAGAGGGATGGAGCCCTTATTTAAAAACATCCCCCAGGGGCAAAACAAAAGCCTGGCCAAGCCACGTGACTCTGCTGAGTGCGGCTTCCCGGAAACCAAACAAAGAGGCAAGTTCTGTGAAACTCGCCAGTGGCCGTGCAGATCAGCACCAGGCAGCGGGGGTGACTCGGCACCCAGAGCAGGGTTCCACAGGTCACCTGCCAGCCCGAGGCAGCACACAAGTCCCTTCTTTAGGCCACATGGGGCCGCGCCCTACCGCGCCACCTCCCCCGGCCCGCTGCCCCCAGAATCAAGTGCCACCTTCTCAGACAGCAGAGCGCAGCTCATCTAAATGACAGCCACCTTATGCCGGGGCACGTGTGTCTGGAGCACACCCTGCTCTCAGCGCTTCCCGTGCATCTTCTCGGGGTTCCTCGCACAGCCCTGTGAAGCAGACACCGCTGCCACCGTGATGTGACAGATGGAGAGGTGGCCTGTCCTTCAACCCTCACCCCATTTCGCAGATGAGGAAACGCACATCCAGAAACGAGACACCAGCTAGAGGCCACACAGCTCACAATGTCAGAGCCAGAATTCAAATCCACAAAGCCCACCTCTGAAAATGAGGCCCCTTTTCAAAATCTGCCCCCCCACCTCTGCCATGGCATCTCTTCCCCCTCCCCCGCTCCCAAAGCTGTCCTCTGACCCCCACGTCTGTGCCTGGGCTCTCGCAGAGTCCTCCTCCTCTGCCAGCACTAGACGTCCAAGCCAAGGCCCCAGCGTGCCTCTGGGAGTTTCCCCGCTGCCTCTGCTGAGTCCTGTCTCCCCGAATACTCCCCCTCCTACCAGGAGACCCCAGGCCTGGAGGGACATCTCTGTCCCCAGCCAAGAGGACACAGCTTTACTACCAACCAACATGGGCACATGGGGAGTGAATCCCAGTTCTACCCTTTACCTGTAGCTCCTTAACCTCACTGTGTCTCAGTTTCCTCATCTGTAAAATAGGAATAACCCCTCCCATGTAGACGTGCTATGGGGATTAAGGGTGTGAAGGAAGAGAAAGGAATCTGCAAACTGTAACACATTAATAAAAACGAAAAACCAAAAAACCAAACTAGTTCTCCCACATGCTAAACAAAGGCGTATTCAGTTGAAAAACACATTACAAAAGGAATTCCAGGGACACAAAGGTACTGGGTGGCCTATGGGCTGAGTATTCTGCATCTCACGTTACAGTCAACATGAGTGCTTCATGTGCAATCTCTGGTTAGTAAGAATGAGTGAATAAAGGAAAAATTAATTTTCAGGTTCGCTGAGAGTGGGTCAAGCCCTTTTGGGATCAGAAGTCTTGTTCTGGGGCACCTAGGTGGCTCAGTCGACTGAGCGTCCGACTTCGGCTCAGGTCATGATCTCACAGTTTGTGAGTTCGAGCCCCACATTGGGCTCTGTGCTGACAGCTCAGAGCCTGGAGCCTGCTTTGGATTCTGTGTCTCCCTCTCTCTCTGCCCCTCCCCCGCTCACACTCTGTCTCCCTCACAAAAATAAATAAACATTAAAATTTTTTAAAAAAAAAGAAGAAGAAGTTTTGTTTTAAAGCACAGGAGACCATGTGCTGCCATGGCTGGGTCCCAGGAAGGATCACGGACCATCTCCTGGCGGAAGGACCCCCATAAGTGTCTGGTCCTAACTTCTTTTACAGGTTTTCTTTCCTGCAAGGCTGGGAGCTGGGAAGGCAGGGGCCACGTGTCATCCACTTAGAATGGCCGCTGCCTGGCCTGACACACGTTAGGGGCCTAGGGTGCAAGGGACACTGAGGCAGCCTGGCCTCAGGGAAGGCGTGCCGGCCGGGCAAGAAGCTTCCAGGATGTGTGACTCTAAGCAGTTCCCTCCCCCAAGACACCAGTATCCTGGCTGCAAAACAGGGACCTCACTCTCTAGCTTGGCCCCCGCCCCCAGACTCCTCCAACCTGTCTCCTGGTGGGGCCAGTCCAGCCTAACCGCCACCCGATGGCCACAGCGGGGGCTTAGAACTTGTCACTGCATGAGCTCCGAAAAAGCCGACTGCCTGGCATTCTTTCCACGTGAGCACCGAGGCATATTTTTATCCCATGGAAACACGGAATTCCACTGCTAAGGGGCTGGGCCGAGGAGCTCCCTCCCCCAGAGGGGACTGCATGGACCATGCATCTATGGGACATGAGCAGAATGACCATGTGTGGCCTTCTGCCCCAAATACTCTGGTCCTTGTGTAGGCAGGCCCACCTCTGCTCTCCGGGGGGGCAGCCCCCACTTATGAAACAAGCCCCCATGGGAAGCCTTAAAGGTGTTCGAGTGCCCTCTGGCCACAGCCTCCGCACTGGAGCCCCAGCCCAGGGGAGGCCACAGGTTTCACACACAGGCAAACGTCTAGAACCATCCAGAGAGGGCGGTTATGAAATTTACAGCCCGTCACTACGGTGCTGCCTTATACACACGTTACCCATGACTCTGTGTACAAGCAAATGTTGAGAGGCAAGGAAAATGCTGGCATAGCACTGTTAAACGGGATTTAAAACAGCATGAGAATCAGCTTCTTTAGAATGCCAATACAACCTATCGGCAGAAACAGATGGGAGAAAATGCCCCCCAAACTGTTAATCCTGACTCTCTGGGTGGACAGAAGGATTATGACTGGTTTTATTTTATTCCTTTTCTAAATGTATTTCTCTAATTTTCTATAATAAAAAAATGTGTAAGGTTTTTGAAATCAAAACAAAACTAGATGTTAAAACCCATTTGTGACTGAGCCCTAAGCGAAAAGACTTGTGGGTTCCCCAGGTCTGGGAGCCCAGCCCCCTGGCTCAGGGCTACTCCTCAAGACAAGGGCATAAAGCCCTTGGAGGCTCCCAGGTACCTATTTTTGCCCCAGAGTATTAAGGGCCAAACCAAGGAACATTCCGGCTCCACTCAAGTGCCAAGTGCACAGAAGAAACAAAGTGGGAGTCAACTTGGGAATACCCTGGTCCTTGATCAAGGACGGCCATGAGTGTCTCCCAGGTCAGCAGACTGCGGGCAGTGGGTGGATCCTTTGCCAGGCACCAAGCTGGGCGTCCCCGCCGCAGAGAGGACCCCGTAGGGCTGGCATCCCAGCAGCTCATGCCCAGTGGGAAGGAGGACTCCTAAACAAACAACCACAAAGACAGAGCAGCATTTGGGGCTACAAGGAACCAAGGTGGGGGGGTCCCACTCCGCTTTGGAAGGCAGGGTGGGGTTGCGGCAGAGAGGCCTTGACTCAGCCTTCGAAGCAAGCAGGTGTGAGCCAGGTAAGGGTGGAAGGAAGGAGGAATGGAGGCGCGTGGGCATTCCACTGGGGGGCTACCCAGGAGGAAAGGCGGCGGGGGGCGAGGGACCAGCAGTGTGGCCAGGAAGGTGCAGGCAGCTGGCTGGGAAGTGACTGTTTGGGGACGGGCCGCAGGAAGGAGAAGAAGCTGTGTAGGCGGCTAGGGCAGGTCTCAGGGGCCTGAATGGGTGCCAGGTTTGGAGCCAGAGTTGGGCCCAGGGCCAGAAGGAGTGCAAGGCAGGGGAGTGAGAGTTAAAGCACAACCGGGGCTGTGCAGGGACAGAACGGGGAGACCAGGGAAGGCGCTGGGCGACTGGCCAGGGCAAGGTGAGGCGGCCTGGTCCAGGGAAGGTATCCGAGAGCGGCTGTGGGTCCAGGAGAGCCAGGAGTATCACCAACAGAATGTGAGGGGTTGGGGAGCAGACAGTGGCCTGGTCTGTGGCTCAGGGCCACAGCAGTGGGGCCACTTTCTGAGATGGGGACGTGGGAGAGGGCAGGAGCCACAGAAATGGGCATGAGGCTCCTTCCCCATTGATCCTGCTCATGGCCATCATCATGGCCCAGGGTTTGGTCTCTGTCCCTGCGCTCGGCCACCTCTTGAGCCGGGGTGCCCTCTGTGACCAGCCCCCAAGGCCTGTCCAGCCCTGGCGTGGGAGGGGCTAGTGAGGCCTTAGGTAGGGAGCCCTCTACACACTCTTCATCTTGGTTAAGAAGGTGTGATGTGTTGGGGCGCCCAGGTGGCTTAGTCGGTTAAGCGTCCGACTTTCACTCAGGTCATGATCTCGCGGTTCGTGGGTTCAAGCCCCGCGTCGGGCTCTGCGCTGACTGCCAGCTCAGAGCCTGGAGCCTGTTTCAGTCTGTGACTCCCTCTCTCTCTGACCCTCCCCTGCTCACGCTGTCTCTCTCTCTCTCTCTCT